GACAATCATATTCAGATAATAATAATAATAGTTAATAAATAATTTTTTTATACAACTTTTATATATAACTTTCTTTGTTATTAAATGAGTTAAAAAAATATGATATAGTAGTTATTGATTAAAAAAAAAAAACTACTGAAATTTATTTCTTCTTAATAATTATAAAATATTTGACTCGGACTGAAAGAAAATTCACCTCACTTTTCTATTTTTCTATTGCTTCGTTTCAAGGTTGGAACAAAGAAATTTTAACATAAATGATATCCTTTTGGGTTTATAAAACATTTTTAGAAAGAACTATAGCTGCAAACATTTGATTAAACTTTCTTAAAATATTCGAGTTCGGGTGTAAACTTGCTAACCAACCATATTGAGTCTACGTAGAAGAAAAAATACTAATATCAATGACAGTTAAAAAACGATATATAGCCTTAAATTGTATGCAAGAAGTTTCTTTGTTGATTTCATTGTCATTTTCAAAGCAGTTCAAACGGTGGTACATTGACCATATAACTAACTCTGCAATAAATTTCAAAAATTGCAGATGAACTAAAATTGCTGTATTATTATCACTGGTATATGACACCAAGCGTGCAGGAGAAATGGCTTTAGTAAAGAGATTCATATGCCCGATTGCCCGGTACAAAAACACGTTTCATGCAGGAATTCCTATTCAGATGGAGAAAATACTCTCTACGCACCTTTAATAGCGCTCCTTGGAGTGAAAAATGAAGTTTCATTTCTGCAATGAAACTTTGATCCTGATGATCCCCACCCTTCTCTGTGGCTTCACTTTTTAACTCAAAGGGTCCTCATATATCAATATATTAATAGGTAGATCAAAGCCATTCACATCTATCACGACATTGTGCTGTTGATACTTGCAATCTTCACACTGTGGTTTGACTTGATGGAACAGGCACTGTGGCTTTGGTAGTCACGGGAATTCCCCCAGTTTTATTGTGTTTTGCTTGTATTTGCTCCAATTCATCATCTGGGAATACTTCGGATTTCATTGATGGGACTATATTCTTTACCTGTAGCCATGTCAGCTGCCAAAAACTATCGCCCCCTATATCATTACTTGGCATGAGAATACCGGTTGTCTTCATCACCAACAGAGTGTTTTTGAGAAGCTCTGGAACTGATTCATGAATTTTTTCACTGTGTTTTCCCCGGAATCTTGCCTTCATATATCTCTCCATTCGATTGAGAACCCCAAGCCATAATTTGCAGAATGACGGCTGCTGAGACAGATCCTGCAGTGATTGTAAGAAGGCCTTTGCCATGAGCTTCATGGCTAGAACAAGTGTACCCTCCATTTTCCGGTAGTCTTTTGGGGAGTTTGTTAGCGAGATCTCTAACAACTCATCCACTAATGTGAAGATTGCAAGATCAAAACACTGGAACCACATGGCACTTGAAAGGGGGATCACATCTACTCCTGCCAAGGAACTCTGCAATGTTAAAACAGCATGGTTCCTCACCTCTTCTCTCTGGTCCAAACATACTTTCCTTAGTCCCTGCACCAGCCTCATCCACATCTCTCCAATATCTTGACTTACTTTCACTGAAGCTTCCTCCACCACAGCACTTTTAGCCTCTGAATACCATCTTACCAGACAAACCACAGAACCTGCCATCATATCTAGTGCAGAAACAGACCTCTCAACCTCCCCAACGCGGGACTCTGCAAATTCCCTTGCTGCATCCACACAAAGAACATAATTAGAAGGTAGAAGATGTGCCCCGTCAGACATGATAAATGCTAGAGCCTCAAATCCTGCTTCAGATGCTTCTGGATGTCGAGCTGTGATAGATAGCAAGGAGATGATAATGCGCCAACCCACATTGGATCTGATGAGGGTAGCATTTGCTTTTACAAGGCGCATGACTTCCTGTGTTATAGGCTCACAATATGTATCAGCGACCCGAGCATCAAGTTTCAATATTAGTTGCAGTGACTTCAGGAGCTCATCAGTCAGGTTTTCCTTATAGGGAAGAAGACGCTGGCATATCCTAAGGAGCCCAAAGACGGCCTTTTCCACTAGAGTACAAGGCATCACAGTAGACTGAACAATGTTGGATATGTGCTCATAAACCCCCTGCCAGATTAGCAAGATCCTATCACGGTTATTCAGTGTAATTGCAATCAGCAATTCCAGGCAGAACACTGCAGTGCCTTCATCTTCCATAAAGCCATTTCCTTTTTGGAGTCGGCCTGTAGCCAACATAAGGGCCCTCACAAGTTGCAATAAAGACTCGGCCTGGAGAAACTTACTCTCTGTAAATATACTATCAATGTGACAGCTCTGTATTACTTCGCGAGTGTGTTGATGAGCAGCAAGCTGTTCCTCATCTGGCTGCAACCTTGGCTCCTCCATATCAAAAGATAAGAGCTGGCTGAACCGACTAATCAGACCAGATGATTTTCTTTGAGTAGCCAAAGATGGTGGGTGCACTTTTGATACGGAACTTGTAGCAGTTTTCTCAGGCTCCAAATCAGATGAGGACTCTCTATCATCAGCTGCATCACTAACCAGATGAGCAGGTAGAAGGCCAAGCTTGTGCAAGCTTAGGACACAATCCAATATGTTTTTCCAGCCAGAGTGGATATAATCACCATAGCCACTTGCTATTGTGAAAACTGCTGTGGTTGCCATCCTGGCTCTGACATCATCAGCGAAGGCAAGGATGGCTTCTTCAATAGATAATGGAGTCAACAGGGTTGTGAATTTACAAAGAGACACAACTAAGTCATTCAAAACACTATCAAAATGATAGTGGGCTGCAATTTTGGCAATGGCCATGAATCCATCAACACATGTCTGCAAAATATCCTCCTGCTCCACTTGATCAAAAACCACTGATATCGCAGCAATTGTGGGACCAGACAAGATAGCAAACATATCGTGGTCAAGAAGTGCTCCAGAATCACAGACAATGAAAGGAGTTGCTTCCTTGGATTTGTGCATTACATTAATCCAGCGGCTCAAGGTCACCAGTGGAGAAGCAGCACCTTGGTCTGGGATCATCTGGATTTCATCCTCACAGATTGAGTGGTAAAGCTCTGAGAGGAACTCTCTAGGAAGATCATTCCCTCCATTGATATTACGATTGTTACGGATAAAGTCTTGTTCAGTCATCTTTTTCTTTACCTGTACATTGTGTTGATCTGTGTTGAGCAATATAAGTGAATAAGACAATACGAGAGCGGCATCCTTGTTAAAAAACAGATGTGCTGATTGCTCATAATATCTTTCAGCAAATGCCTCAAGAACCCTCTGTATTTTCTGTGATTCTCCAGGCAATCTGAAAGTTCCCAAGAAAAGTCGCAATGCAGTATCTAAATTCATGCCATGGAAATCAAAAGTCCTAGCAAATTCATGAAGCACCTGGATACAAAATTCATCATGATTTCCCAGAAAATCTCCAATAAGATTCTTATCCAGTCCACTAGTGTACCTAAAGAAGGATGCTACACTTTGTGGGTCAAGTTTATCTGGCAATAAATGCATTCCTTGAAGAAATTCTAGACCTTTCTTGGGATCACGATTAAAGTGATCTGTTCCAACCATCAACTTTTTCTTGATAAATTTTGTCTTATGAACAAATGGAATCCAACAACTAGGATTGTTATAGTTGTCACATTTCAATGTCCAAAAAGCTTCATATCCCTCACAATTTACTGAAGTCTCATCTGAAGCAGGTAACTCATTGCCAATCCTTGCAGCCATAACTTTGGTCATGGATACCAGGCCATCCAGAGCAAGAATATGCATTGCAGACAAAGGTCCATTAACAGGAAATGCACTTTTTGACAACAGATTAGCAAGGTCTTCAAATACATTACTGTAGGTTATGTCACAGTCAAAATTGGTATACATCTCAGCCATGAATGTCTGCTGCCTGCACAAGTCAACCAATGCTTCCAGAGCTACCTCCTGCTGTTGGTATGAAGACCCATGCTTACGTTGTGCTAGTCTCAAAAGCACACAAGAAAAGAAAGCTTCAAGCTGTGCCTTCAGTTCTGTACGGAGATGATAATACAGATTCAGAACAATGCTACATACAGTAGAAAGAATCAGTGGGCTCATTGATAAACCAAACTGCATCAGATTATGAAACAATTCATCCTGAATCAAAGCCAATAACTTGGGGTGTTGACTGAATGATGGCCCACCCAATTCTATAGCTGAATTAATCAACCCCAAAGCAAAGAGTGGAACATCCTCTTCATATGCTATGGGATTTGATCTAGGACCAATACCAACGTGCTCAATGACATTCAACAAAGAACACAGGAAATGAAATATCTCCACCATGCATGGGATGCCAAAGGGCTCCATCATCAATTTTTCACCATCTTGACCATCCTCCACCTTGCCACTTTCCTCAGCCTTGCTTGCATACATTTCACCAGCTGACTTCTCCACGGGAATGGTTGAAGCATGTTCCTTGGAGGATTGATCATCATATTCAACACCATCATGGCCATTTTCTTGCTGTATACTACCAAACATGTGATCCCTGTCAACTACACCTGCCTGCAAAAGAAGAAGAAGTTACATTTTTGTTTTAATTTTATCCCTTTTTATTTTTATTTTTTGTGCAGAAATTATTATTACTAGTATCATGTTTAACAGTTTCCATGCAGGATGGTAAGTACTTTCCTACAGAGCAGAAGAATTCAAGCCACAACTCTCAATAATAGAACACAAGACACTATTTAAAGCTGGAGGAATATCCTATAGGAGAATTATTCTAAGAATGATTACCGTTTCAGCAGAAGATAACCTGCTTCCGGTAGCTATCAGTTTTGAATTGCTGATCTCAGGAAGGTGAGAGAAAATACACCTAACCAATTCATGCATTGTGTGCCGTGCAATCCGTTGCAACAATTCACCTTTGGAGCTTGCCTGATGAACTACACGAAAGCATGTATCCACTATGTTGCAAACATGCTGATTAGTCAACCTAGCTGCTGCCTTACTTTTCATGCAAGCTAACAGAACCTGAAGTATCTTCATTAGCACCACTTCCTCAGATGCTGGATCAGTTACCTCAAACCTGCAGCTAGTCACAGCATCAACTATGAGATGCATGGCATTCCCCACATTCACTGTGTCAAGATCAAGTATGTCAAGGGTTAAGATTTTGTAAACAGATGACAAAGCAACACCAGTAATTGGTGCACCAGTTTCATCAGACCGAATGACATCCAAAAATGGCTGGAGGTATACAATAGGGTTTATAGTGTTCCACGGATGTTGCCATGAAAAAATTTGTTTCCGCAATTCTTTCAAAGAATGGATGAGAGAGTGCTCTAGCTGATCATCATCTGCCACATAATGAATTCCCCACCTTACATTTCTCCTCATGACAGCCAGAACAGCCCCTATTTCAGCATTGATCATACATGCTAATGCACCTGTGGAAGGCCTAACAGGACAATGCCTAATCTCTCCATGAAGTGCACTGCTTTCAGGTTGTGGATTCAGATGTCCCATATTTAACCACAATTTTAGCAAGATGAAATTTTGAACCAAGATGCCTTGCTGCTTATGCAAATAAGATGCCCAAATCTGGCAAAATCATATCATTCACTGCAATAAACAAAAAGGCAATCACGAAAACTCACTAAAGATTCTCTTACCCTTTGGGCACGTGATAGAAAAACCGTTTCACATATCATGTTGTAAGCAAGAATGATAAGAGACATAAAAACTCACTAAGTTCCTTGGTTGCTGCTTAAGTGGGCATGTAAAACTCAGTTTCTCAACAATATGATTTTGCATCACAGAATATAATTTCCATCATTAAGGTAAGAAAATACAAAATTTCACAATGCTTAAATTTTCCACAGAGCAATGTATAATAAATTTAAATGAAAACATCTTTAAAGGGAATGAAAGACTTTTTCATACTTGTAAGTAACCCAGTTTAGTCTTGCAGTTAAGCTGCAGAGAGAAAAATCAGTTTGAACAATTAACTACCCAGGTTCACATGAAAATGAAAGAAACTGATACTAAAATCTATACTATTCTTCTGATTCAAAGAAGAAAATTGGCGGCCTGGATACATAGTTAACGTCAAAAAAGAGTAACACAACCCCATTACTATCTTCCCACAGCTACCAAGAATAAAATGGAAAACAAAGAAAAACCAAAAATTCAAGTACCCAAAATCAGATCTAACCAGCTAATCAGGACGCAGAAGCTCTGACACTAAACTTAACGAGAACAGCTATGAACACAATCAAAGATCGTTGCTTGAAGCATGCATCGTGCAATACACAAACTGGGTCAATTAGAATGACGGAAACGCGTGAATTTAAGCATTGAATTGACAGATCGCGACAGGAGCTCGCGTACCTATTGGGAGATGCCTATGTTAGGATTGGGAATTTGGAGAAATTGGGAGAAAGTGGGGAGAGTGAGCTGGAGATTGGGTTTCACATGAGGGTAAACGGAGTTGGGAATGGGTTTGGGCATCTAAGAGACTTCGGCGAAATGAATTCTGTGCTTGTTCGCGGTTTGTAGAAACGTTTCGGAAAATGCATACAAACGGCGTTTCGTTACTTGCCGGAAAAAAAAATGAAAGGAGTTTTTTTTTTCTTTTATTACCAAAAATATAAATCTCTTTTCAATTTCTAAGGTTTTATAGGAGTTACTACAATTTTGTCTTTTTATTTTTAATGCAATAAATAAATAAAAAGAACTATTTTTTAAAAATCCAAATATTGTTTTCCATCTTTCAAATCCACTAAAATCACATAATAATCTAATAAATTTGTCAAGTTATTAATTTTTTTACAATAACATTATAGTTATAATATTATATAGAATTACTAACGACCTAAATATTTCAGTAATCATGTTCTTCTATTAGAAATAAAAGATTCTAAATTTGAGTTGCATGATATGCGAGTGAAATATGATAAAGGATGTGAGATAGTTACTTTTCATTGTATAATCAAGATAAAAAAATATTATATAAAATTATAAATTTATAATCATGATATGACATTAAATGAGTAGAATTTGATATCAAATAATAAAATGTATATAATATCAAATATGTACTTTAAATTAAAAGAATTAAATTATATAATAACACATTATTTTATAAGTTAAAAATATTATGTGATATTATAATTATAATATTTTATTTTTTATATAAATGTGACATAGACCTATTTAAAGAGAAATTGTCTATACTAAATTAGGAGATTTATAAGAAATTTATTCAACGTAATCTTGTAAGGGTCTTGTCGAGTGCCAAGACAGAAGATAGAGCTCAACACCCTATCACAGTACTAGAGCAGAGCTCAGCGTCCCATCTACAGTACCACATTTGCACGGAAATCACAATGAAAACGCTTGTACTCGATCATCAGTCCCCACCTAACTCTCCGTTTGTGAAAGGCCTACTCTGTCAAAATACGCCACGCTTATTTAATGCAGTTGCTTAATTAAGGCACGTTACATCCATCAAAGACATTTATCCCGTTAAACACATCATATCACGATAATGATGATTAAGAAAGTCAAGTGGATGCCCGATCAAAATATACAAACACGCCCATGCATGGCTCAAAAGAGGTATGATGAAAAACTAAAAAAAGAACTCTTTCAAAGTCTTCATTAAAAATATATCAGATTATTGTTGACTTTAGTATCAAAGTGTCTACTCGAAGCCTACCTCGGAGCCAACCCTCAGGACTTTTGCAGGTTAATTCAGCAAGAAGTTCATAGCACAAGAGGCTTGTAAAGTTTGTTGCATCAACAAATCTCTCTAAATAATCGAACATCAACTTGCATATAAACATAAAATGACAAAATAACTCCCTCTTTACAAGTTATCTTAAGAGGTATGTAGATATGAAAAAATTTATTGGCCAATTAAAAAGTACCATGTGTGAATTTAGGTCTTGAAAAAGAATTTTATTTTTGACATATTAAAATTATTTTGAAGATATTTTTAAACTAATTACAAAATGACATATGTACCAATCACAATTCAACATACTTGAAGCAAAAGTCTTATTTTTCAAGAAAAAATATATTAAAAAATATTTATTAAGTAAAAATATTTATTGTTCAGACTAATATGATTAAAGTATTCTTATTACTTATTCAATAAGAATAAAATTCTTATCCTAAATTACTAAGGAAATAGTTAATAGAGAAGTTCTAATCTTAAAAAAACTCCTTAAACCATACTTATAAATAAGAGATCTCGTCAAGCCTTTTGACACCTTAAAATAAATTTTAAGTATTAAACTCTTTAAAGATTTCTCATTAACGAGAAATAAATGGAAGAACCCTATTACGAGAAATTTGAATACCCTATTAAGAGGAAACAAATTGAAGGCCCTATCATGAAAGATTTGAAGACCCTATTAAGAGAGATTTTGAAGACCCTATTGAGAGAGATTTGAAGACCTTATTAGGAGGGATTTGAAGAACCTGTTATGAGAGATTTGAAAACCTTCTTATGAGGTAATTGAAGACCCTGTTACGAGAAATTTGAAGACCTTGTTGAGAGGGATTCCAAAGAACCCTATTAAAAGAGAACTTGAAAAATGAAAATCAAAGAATGAAGAACAAGTAAAAAATGTAATATAAAAAGCGTTAATCATGTGTTTCCCTATTAAAAGGGATTTTGATTTTATCTAACAAATAAATCAAAGACTTCATTTATTTAAGAACAAGTTAATAAAGACCCTTATACAAGAAGTCAAGATTGTAATATTATATTCAAAGAGTAGAATCGAAGGATTAAATTTCTAAAAATTATAATCCACAAACTTTTATCAAATTTGCAATTTGGCACATAAATTTTCAATAAAAGAATTTTTATTGTGTACAAGGCATATTACTCTATTTTATTGACTCTTGTATTGGGGATTTGTACAAATAAAAACACACTCTTAAAAAAAATTTCTATCTAAGAATATATCTTTTCTTTCCTAATCAACGCCAGCACATTTTAAAAGTTTTTAATTAAAAATATGACTATAGTCATCCACTTAATCCTTCTTTAACAAAATCGTGAAGATCATATTCTTAATTGAAAACATTTGAAAGATAGGGACCTTGATTAGTAAGGAAAAATATCATATCCTTAATTTTAAAAAAATTTAAAGTTTTGTTTCTATTTGTACAAGATCTCCATATAATTGTACAATAGTATATAATTGAACTTGAAACATTTTATTTTGATGCAATTATTACATTGGCAAACAATTCAATGTACTAGTTATCAAATCAATTTTGTTTTAAAAAAATTATGAATGTTTGATGTGAAAAAGTTTCATTTCTATGTAAATTTTATATTAAAAAAATTCAAATTATGGCTCATAAATCTTTGATGTGATGAAGAAAAAGAATCATGATAACAAAATTATATATCAATTGTCTTTAGATGATAAATACTTATTTTTATGAAAATAAATTTAAGAGATCAGCAAAAAGAAAATAAATTTGAAGGTCAGGTTTTGGGTTAATTTAGACCTAAATAAAATATATGGACTTGATGATAAAAAAATAAAACGTATGGACTTGACAATCAGAAAAAATAAAATGTATGGACTTACTCATTTTTTATGGGGATTTCTTTCTTTTTTTTTTTGAACATATTACAATTTAAAAAAAAAAAAGGATTCAAATTTTAGTTCTGAAACTAAAAAATATATCTTACAATGAGATATATAACTATTAAATTAGGAAAACTAAGTATTTTTTGGGATTTGTTAGTCGCATTAGAAGAAGAGGGTATTAGTTGTATCTTAGAAAAGAGTACTCCAGACTCAAGAGGACAAGTGTTAGGAATTCTTCCTGCCACATTAAATTTAAAATCAATCGTCCTTTATTGATAAGGACAAAAGATATGTACCTAAAAGAAAAAAATAAATAGATTGGTGTTTTTTTACCATGGACGGTATAAAAAAATAGTAGAAAAAAAGAAAGAAAATGAGTAGGTCAATCTTGATATAATAGAAAAGAAAAAGGAAAATGAGTAGATCAATCTTGATGTTTTTTTTCTCTTATATATTAATTTTTATTTTATAATTTAATATAATTTTAATTCTACAATAAAACAAAATTTTTTATTTTCTTAAAGTTAAATATCCAATAATAACTTAATTTTATAAAAAAATAAAAATTTAATAACAATAAATTTAATAAAATTAAGCTTTATATACTTAATCGGTGGTGAGGTTCGTCAAGCATCTTTTACCAACAATTTTAATATTCCAACTGCACTATTTTATTTTATTTTATTTTTTGGAGTTCATACTGAAAAAATAAATAAATAAATAAATAGTCAAAAGATAATTCGGGTGCCGTGCATTTCCTTCTCGGATGGTGCTGCAACCTGCCCGCCGACAGGCTACCGCTGCCCGCCGGAATCACTTTCATTATCGAAAAATTCAAAAAAAAGTCGGTTACTTTCGGTAAAGCTCTTCCTTCACCGTTTCATTAGAAAATGTTTTGCTTCCTCTAGACTACTCCCCGTTGGTGCTGTTTCCCATATCAGTTACCTCCACTTTCCTTCTCTCTCCCGAAACCAGTTTCCTTCTTTCTTCCCCCGGCGAGCTTTGAAATTCCGACATATCAGTTGAGTTGTTGAGGTGTGCTGCTGAGATTAAGGGATGATTGTTTCGGCTCTCTTTACTTCGGTCGGGATCAATCTTGGCCTCTGTTTCCTCTTCTTCACGCTATACTCTATACTCAGGAAACAACCTAAAAACGTCCCCGTCTACGCTCCGCGCTTGTTTCATGAGAGACAATCTCAGCAGAGGGATGATTTCAGCTTGGAAAGGCTACTGCCGTCTCCTGGTTGGCTGAAAAGGGCTTGGCAGCCCTCCGAAGATGAACTTTTGTCTGATTCAGGCTTTGATGCTGTTGTGTTTATGCGCATTTTTATCTTCAGGTAAATTCTCGTCTTTTCATGATGGGTCCTTCGTTTCTATGAAAAAAGTTCCAAACTTGTAAATTAGAAATACAGACAATTGTTATCTCTTATTTGTTAATTTTTACTCAATTTCAAATGTGAATTAGGTTGTTAAGTAACAAGAAATTTTCTTATTGATGTTCAACTGATATGGGTTTCCTTTTATGCAGTTTGAGAGTGTTTACCTTTGCCGGTATAATTGGGATCCTTGTTCTTCTTCCAATTAATTATTTGGGAAACCAGCTAACGGCTGATTATGATATTTCACATTTGCCATACAAAACTCTGGACTCTTTCAGCATCTCAAATGTCAACAATGGTTCAAATTGGTAATTGATATCTCACCATAAAAATATTTCAGTTACAGCTGCTGCTAGCCATCCTAGTGAAATCTTGGATGGGTGGGCTAATATTTTTTTTATGTTGGTTGTAACTCTTTTTTTCTTTTGTTTCTTAAATTTTGCATTTATAAGAAAAAAAAAAGAGAATATATGTGCATTACATGATCATTTTGCTTATGTTTTACTTTTGAAGTTTAGAAATTTTGTTTTAAAATTAGGCTTCAAGCATGTTCCAATTCTTTAATTTTATTGTAAAAGAACTTAACTCAGATGTTCGGGATTGGATGAGTTGTATTTTTAAAGTTTATAATTTATTTATTTATTTTTTATAGATTCTGTTGCATTTCTAAGCTAGCATTTAGTGAATAGTTGGTAAGATAACCCTGATGATGTATTTTGGCCTTCCTCAAGGTTATGGGTTCACTTTTGCGCTGCATATATTTTCACTGGATTTGTCTGCTATCTTCTGTATTATGTAAGTAATGTTTTATGCTAGTTTGGTCAGATAATGCTATCATAATGTGTTGATCCGAGGGGAAGATAATATCCGTGGAAGCTTTAACTTTTTGGCTATACAATTTGCAGGAGTACAACCATATTTCATTGAAAAGAATTTCTTACTTCTATTCTTCCAAACCTCAGCCACATCAGTTCACGATATTAGTCCGTGGCATCCCTGCTCCTCCTGGGAGTAGTTTCAGTGAAACTGTTGGCAACTTTTTCACAGAGTATCATCCCTCAACTTATCTTTCACATTCAATGGTTCACCGTACCAGCAAACTTAGAAGTCTCATTGTGAGTGCTCGGTCTGAAATTTTGATGGGTTCAGCCATCTCTGTTGGTCGCAATTTTTTGTTATTAATTGTTTTCTTCTATCTCGCATGTTATAGCTTGGTTGGTATTTTTGTTTCACTTATCAGTCTGTGATTCATTTTTTTTTTTTATAGTGTTTTGAAGGATCAGGGAAATCTTAACATCAATATGTTGTATGTAATTAAAGATTAAAAAGTCAAATCAATAAAATTCTGTTCTTGGAGACAAGTCATGTTTGTGTGATTGATCAGGTGTACAGTGCACTTCTAGAAATTGAAACCAACCCTCTTTGCAGTAAGTAAAAATTCTTTATTAAATTTTAACTATTAACTTTTTTCTGACATCTTGGATAAAACCTCTCAGATGCTTTTCAACCATTAATGATGCATTCAGGCAACGTAAGTTGTTCCAAGAGGATAGATTTGAGCTATGGTCAACATGTTTTTACTCACCAACTCTATTTGTTGTCTTTATTTTTTGCTTTACTCTTATCAAATTCTTTTGCAACTTTATTTTATGATCTGTAGGATGATGGAGAGAAGCTGTGTAAAAGGCTCACTCATTTAAAATCAACAAGTTCTCAACGGAGATATAGGCGTGATGGATTTTTAGGGCTTTTTGGACGAAAAGTTGATATTGTTGATCACTATGAGAAGAAGTTGGAAGAATTAGAAGACAAAGTGAGACTGAAGCAATCTCAATCTGCATTGCCAGTAGAGGTATGTTTTATAAGTCAATAGGGGGATAATTTTGGAGGCAGTTTAGCAGTTTAGCTATGTAAATCATATCATACAAAGGGTGCCGCCCTTGTTGCTTTTATTATTATCTGTTAATTTATGGTAACTGGTATAGACAAATGGGAACAAAATACCATTTTACTCTTAACTTGATCCACCTTTGTTCTTGAAGGTTATTACCTAGTGCACATCTTGCCTGACTGGGTTTTACAAAGATTGATCTAGATTTGGTCCTAAACTTCCAAATTTTAGCTTGGGAGGGCAACTTTAAAGTATGTGTTTGCTTGTGTATGCATGTTTATTGCATGTAGGAAATTATGAAGCAATGTATCTTTGTGTATGAACCCAAAAACATAAAGAAAAGGAAGTACATGTGCACGATGCAATGCATGCACACAGTTAGATAAATAGCAAGCAGCACTGACAGAAAAGGAGCAAAAGTTTTAAGCAATGATGAACATGTAAGCATTTATTTCTGTTGATCGTTGCACTGGCCCCGTTTGTTAGTTTTGAGAAATATGTCAATATAAAATATAAATGCAGGCATTCTATCCCTGCAAAGTGTAGTTGGTACATATTTCTCCGCATTTATTATATCTTTTGATTTAAATATGAAAATTATACTTGAGGGACCTAACCTCCCTAATGCTCTCAAATCTTTAGGAAGCCCCAGCAGCTTTTGTGTCATTTAAGTCAAGGTTTGGTGCTGCGATAGCTGTGCACATCCAACAAGGCATTAATCCTACACAGTGGGTGACTGAACGAGCTCCCGAGCCTAAAGATGTTTACTGGCCTTTCTTTTCTGCTTCATTTATAAAAAGATGGATCTTGAAGCTAGTGGTGGTTGTTGCGTATATTGCTGTTACAATTCTATTCCTTATTCCTGTTGTATTTGTGCAAGGTCTCGCCAATCTAGACCAGCTGGAGACCTGGTTTCCCTTTCTGAAAGGCATATTGAGTGTGTAAGTGGATTTCTTTCCTGACTACTCTTCAAGGTCTTGTCATCTCTGTGTATTTCAGTAGATTTACGTGTGTGCATGTATTTTGCATCTATGTGTCAGTTTCCAGCTTTCATGCCATAGCTTAGAAATATAGAAGAAATTAGTGCGCGCGTGTGTATATATATATATATCACTTTATGTTTTGCAATGTTGACTTGATTATATGTTTCCATTTTCCAAATCACAGTAACTTTAGGTGCCCTGTGTCTTAGGCTTAGCAAATCAGTTAAGCTGGCTATATTCATTTCAGCTTACTGGACTTAAAAAAAAAATATTACATAATCTTGCAAATGAATGAAATTACCATGTGTAACTAGTCTTTTCTTGAGATTTTACTGAGGTTGATCTAATATCATGGTCCTAAGCACTTTTTCTATATGGGGCATAATATTAGTTGTTTCTTTTTTTCCTCTTATTGATGACATCTCTTATGATACATACTGAACGTTTAATTCTTGAATTGCAGTGCATTTATCAGTCAAGTGATTACGGGATATCTTCCCAGTCTTATACTTCACTTGTTCCTATCTGTTGTGCCACCCATCATGATTCTCTTTTCCTCCATGCAAGGATATATTTCCATCAGCCAAATAGAGAAAAGTGCATGCACCAAGATGCTATGGTTCACTGTATGGAATATTTTCTTTGCAAACGTACTCTCTGGATCTGCTCTATATATGGTCAATGTCTTCCTTGAGCCCAAGAAAATTCCAAGTGTGCTAGCTGAAGCTGTTCCAGCACAGGTGAAAATTTAACGCCCTAATAATATTTGGCATCTGTAGGATGATCTATATAACATTTTGCTATCTTTTGTCTGTTAAGGAGGCAATTCTGTGATGTGTTTCTGGGGTTTTCTGTGGTTCTGGATTCTGTCACTGTGTATAAGAACAAATGTTCATACTTCATAGAGCATATTTTGTCAATTGCGATTGCTTACTCCTCAGGTGCTAGGTAGCATGAATCATTTACCAGATCTATCATTGTTTTTTTCTTTTTCTGTTGCTGATAATATTAGAGAGATTTTGGATGGATTGCATTCTCACTTTAACATCTACTTGAAAGGATGATTAACCTGAAGGCAGTGACCAATTAGTGCTTGTGGTTTTTTTTAAACAGGCCTCATTCTTCATTTCATATGTTGTGACATCTGGCTGGACCAGTCTGTCATCCGAACTCTTTCGCCTAATTCCTCTCGTTTGCAGTTTCATAAAGGGACTGTTTGGAAGGAAAGATATGGATGATTTTGAGGTTCCATCGGTACCTTACCACAGTGAAATTCCCAGGATCCTCTTCTTTGGACTTCTTGGTGTAACGTACTTTTTCCTTGCTCCACTTATTCTACCATTCATCTTGGTTTATTTTTGCATGGGATATATCATCTACCGCAACCAAGTAAGTCATTGCCCCTTTTGTATTTAAATACTATCTTTAGTTTGTTTCAGTTTCACATTAGATAAGAAAAGAAAAAAAAACAATTAGGCTCAATTTGCTTAAGATTCTTGTTCCATATTTCTGAAGAGACTACTGATTCTGCATATCAAGGCTTTATAACAGTCAAATTTTCACAACTTGTCTTGTGTGTGGATAATATTTGAATATGATTCTTGGTATTTTACCATGTACAAATGTGTTTTGACCGTAATTGTGTAAAACTTTTCAGTCTGATAAGTAGGTTAAAACTTATATGCTTGAGGCATTGCCTTCTTTTAATTTTTAGTTTGGCATTCAAAAAGATATGGATCAGGAATCACTCTTTCCACCAATAGTTCAGCAAGAAAGCTAACCTATCTAAAATTCAGTATTACCCACTATTAGCATATGAGTCAACAAGTCAAGATCATGCTAACTGGAATTTCTTCTAAGTTTCTAGTGCAGTGATCACTTCAGAAGGAGAAAACAATTTTAATAATCTCATTAATGGACCTGATCAATGCTTTTGGAAATATGAGGCTTGTGTCAGGATTTAGCATTCTTTATTGTCTCTGAATTGTAGGGAACTTTTTCTATGTTAATAGGTTACAACCTGGCAATCCAAGGTGTTATAGAAATTAGGTTCTTAGTAGTTCCAATATATTGTGCCTTTACTTCTAACATTGAATTTCAGATAATGTTTTCTATTTTTAAAATTTAATCGTTTTATCTTGTATTTTTGACACAGCTGTTGAATGTATATGCACCCAAGTTTGAAACTGGTGGGAAGTTTTGGCCAATAGCGCACAATTCGACAATTTTTTCCTTGGTTCTGATGCATGTCATTGCAATTGGAATATTTGGGCTTAAGAAGCTTCCCCTGGCATCCAGTTTAATCATTCCTCTTCCAGTTCTTACACTTCTTTTTAATGAGTACTGCAGGAAGAGGTTCTTGCCCATATTCAAAGCTTATCCTACAGAGGTACAACTTCATTTCTTTTCCAGTTAATATTTGAAATTTTTTGTAGTTATAGGTCAAGTCCAACTGAATTCTTCAAAAATATTTTACCTTTTTTCCTTTCTGCTTTAGTCAGTCTCTATTACAGATAGCCTCATACCTGATCTCTTACAATGGAGAAATCTTCACATTCCTTTGCATATATGTAATGTTCGTGAGTTATTAACGCTGATTTTCTCGATTTGGTCTACATGGAAGATCAGCACAGCAAAGGTTTTCAAATAGGAAACTTAAGAGCTGATTCTTTTGGAATTGCTGCTGAACAAGTATCAATACTCCTGCAGTAGCAAGACAATGTTTCTTTGATGGTTTAAATGGACTATGGACAGCTTGCTAAGAAAGTTTTACCTTCCTTTGGTGTCTTCTTGTTCACTGCAGGCTAAAGGTCAAGAAATATAATAACAAACTGTTTCACTTGCTCCACTATGATATTTGGGGTTAATTTTGGTATTTTAAATGGTGATTTAAAATTATAAAAATGGTTAAAAGATAAATTTTAGCTGAACTTGGGTAAGAAAGTGGAAGTAAGAATTTGTATGGGATGTTAAGGAACTATAATGAAGTTTTTGCATGTTATCTCCAATGGCTGCTACTTCTGGCTAGTCTGATAGAGAAGGCCATTATGATTGTGGTGTGAGCAAAGGAAGATATAACTGTGAGTCTGTCTACATGGGATTCCTAATGATAGTGATCGCTGCCCTTAATATGACATCAAACCATGCATAGAGATTGTGCCCTTGTATACTGACTAATCATGTTTTAGATACTGATTTATGACTATATTCTTCATTCCGTTTGCCTTGGTTTGCTTTCATTGTTTCTTTGGCAGTTTAGGAATAGCCTAAATCTTGTCTGTTATGCAGTGTTTGATAAAGAAAGATAGAGAAGACCTGAATGATCCCAGCATGCCCCAGTTTCTTGAAAATTTAGACGCTGCATATCATGATCCAGCTTTGATGCCAATCCAGTATTCTAGCAGCACAGATGGACACAATTCTCCCCTTCTCAGAGCAGCTGAAGTTTGAAGTTGGTAAAATATTCTTCTAAGTTCTAATGGCTTCTGGACATTGATAAGCAGCCATGTCTGGTTCTGGTAGTATTCTAGCTTTGTAGATAGTTTGGTGATGCTAACAAAAGGAAATCCCTTCTGTTCATATACTGAGATGAAACCTTTCCAAAAATGAGGTTGTGTACCTGTATGTACATTCGCTCTCTGTTCAATTGTATCTCCAAGAAATTTCTTAATGGCTTGGTTTCCATAGCTTCTGCATATAATTTTCATGTTCTAGAATTTTGGATTCTAATACTCCAATGAACATTTTCCATCTTTGAGAACCTTACAGTTTCCTGTGTCAATTTCAATATTCTAGAAGCTCCATTTAAGGCAAATTCTTGATCAACAATAAGACAATATCTTTTATTATAAGAATATATGTTATTATAATACATATATGAAGATAAAAGAATTTGAATATGTAACATTTCAAGATCTCAGTATTTATTTCTGCTCTATGACCAAGGAGTCGGCAGTCCTCTGAAAAGTGAGTTGTTAGTAACCTTTCCATTTCCAAAGCATTGAAAAGGTTGAATATGCCGATTGCCTAGTCTCATTCTATTAGTCTGTTTTGTGCTTGGCATTGACTTCACTGTTGGTTTATAACCAGTTCTGAAGTAGTAGTAGACTAGTAGTGGGCGAGTGTCATATTCTTTTTTTAGCATGGGGAAATTTGGGAAAGATGGTTTTTTTTTTTCTTTAAATTATTAGTCAGAGTTGAACTCTTAAATAATTATATCTACACGCTTAAAATTTGAAAACAAACTATTAAATTCAAAGATTCCATTTAGACAAGTGCCATATTCTTGGACATCCCATTATGCACAATTCTGATACATAGCGACAAAGGAAGCTAAACCACATAATTAATTAAGCTAATACAGACAAATTTCCACTTTTTTGTGTTTGTCATGTTTAGGTGTGAAATGCATCCGGACAACACGTGTGGCGGCATGAGCAAGATTGTGGGTCTAGTCAGGAGTCACCATTGTCCTAATATAAAATTTAGGATCACCTCTTCGGTGGGGGGAATTGCTATGGTACGAATAAGAATGTTAATATTATTAAAATTATAAAATGTTATTTTTAAAAATATTAATTTAATTTAATTAATAATTAATGTTTATTAATTAATAATATATTTTTAATTCTATCAATTATTAAATAATAATTACAATTATCAATTATTTTTAATAATCACATCAAATCAATTTATACTTTTAAAAACAAAATTTAAAAATATTTATAAACATAACAATTTTATATGTGATGATAACTATACTCATACATGTACCATCTCCATTAGGTAAAGTACAATAATCATGCATCTTTATTTACTTTGTTTATCTATTGCTGATACTCATATATGTACAATTTTGTCCCATTAGACAACTTTTTCCCATAGGTTTTAATGATTTTAATCCCCCACTAAATCTATAGCTAATTACTTGGATCAACTAATTCTTAGTCAGTTGATCAATATTAATTCTTCTATGCATAAGACTTTATAAAACTCGAATGACTCTTTGGCTTTGATAATCTATTTTATTTATTTCAAGAATTTTAACTTAAAAATTTCCATTTAAAAGCTATAACCGGTTCATATAGTTATACACTAAATTTTAATTTAATGAGCATTCATCTAAACTTAGGTATTCTCTGTACTAACCTAATTAATTAATAAAAAGTATTCAAATCATCTGTACCTTTTTCTTGTGTTCCTTTTGAAACATATGGCAGCTTTAGCAAAACTATAGGTGTAGACCCTAGTTAATAACTTAACATGAGAGATTATTGGTTTTTTTTTTTTTTTTTGAACAGTGTACAATTTGGGGGATGGGGAAGGGAGTTTTCAAGACGGTGGTGAAGTTCGAAACCCCGATCACGTCACCCAAGTACTTTAAGGCTTGAGGTTGAACTATTGGGTCTAAAGACCCGATTCATAAAAGATTATTCGTTTAAACACACTGCATTGAGACATTTGAATTCGAAATCGAAATCTTACTGAAAATAATCATCCTAAATTTGATATGTAAACCGGCCATGCATCATCTGATTCATCTCTGGGTTTGTTTACCCATTTCTCTGAACTGTAAGTTTATTTTAGTGATTAGGTATATAATGTAGAATATGCTTTCAGTTTTGGTTACCTTCAATGATAAACCAACATATCAAACACAGAAGTGAAAATTTGTCCCATTAGATAACTTAACTAATCTCCCATCTTTTCTTCAACCAAATCCCTTTGCTAATTATCTTGGTCATCCATGTTTTAGCATGGGATCAATTTTTTATTTATACCTTTAATTTTAAGTTTGATTGATATGTAACTTCAATTCGGGAATCTAATTGACATAATTTAGCAAACATTAAGATATTACATTGTTTATATAATTATAATTATTCAAAAGTATTGCTTATTATTATTCAACAAAATAACATGATCAAGTTCATGAATAAATTAACATGCAAATGGAAAACCACTTGATCTTGCTTTTGACATGTGGCAACTTGATCTAACTTATATGTATCAATCATGTGTAGCTTCTCGTTTTCAAAATTTTTTCTGATTATTTATGTTCGTGTAAAACTTATATGATGTTCTAGATCTAGATTGCCCCCTTGGTTAATAAAATACAATGTTATATATATATATATATATATAT